GTCCGTGTTAAAATATATTTTTAAGAATTTACAAAACTAAACATCCTACAGTATTTTTAGTCTTTATTTTACAGTTAAAATATATGTTTATCAAATAAAGTCTAATGTTACAACTAATTGGGGGATTCCTTTAAGAGATAGGGTGAGAAGTTCAGTTATCAGCATTCTCAGCAACATTGTGGGTAGGATGCTAATGGTCTATTAACTATTATTTAACCAGGCAAATGCCATTGAGATCATAGATTTATTTTGAAAGGGATGCCTGGGCTGGAAGGTAACCTAAATGCTAGTTCTTGGTCTGTGGGAGGAAAGAGGTACTCCGTTATTTTACCGAAGAAAATCSACGCAAGCATGAGGAGAACACASRAAAACACCCSAGGTTTGAACCGGGGATCAAACACAGGACCTTAAACACTGTTTGCAGATGAAAATAGTGTTGAAGTCATAAGATGTAGCAATGTGGAGCATGACAAATTTTATCATTTGTTTTGTGGCTTCCATGGCATGCAGCACTCATACCTGTTGCAATGTGTTCAAAAACTGAAGCAGCCGATTTGTTTTTTTAAAAGAATCTACTCAAAACGACGTATTTTCCAGCTAAGGCTGCACAGCATAAAAAAACTTGCGATGGCGATATTTGTAATTGTTGCAATGATATCAGGTGTGWTATGTCTTTTTTTCTTTCCTCCCTTTCTAATCTGTACTTCCTACTCTATGACCTTTAGCATTTTTGGCAARGTCATTTGTGTATTGTGCGAGCTTTAGCTGCTGTGAGGCTAAACATTGCATTAGCATGAAAAATAAAACTTCAACCCTCCTCAAATAAATTAGTCAGCAGTTATCACACACTAAGCAGTCCTTTGTGATAGGAGAATTTCACACACTGATATTGCGATGATCAGAGGTGGGCATCAGTCCGCTAAAGCGCAAATTCGCTAATTGCGGACCTAAATATTTCATTTGCTCTTTAGCGGTCTTACTAATTTTTATAATTCATAAGCAGATTTGCACTTTCTAAAATTAAAAT